CTATATACAAATGTGGCGAAAGATAATCGATGACTACAGGTTGTAATATATGAATTTTTGTTTGATATTAATTTGATTTTTTTACGGTCTAAGTCGCATGTTCCAACTTCCTCAATTTGTATGGGCGCTACGCTCTTCGGTATGAGACGTCTTTGTCAATTTTCTCCTTATAGACGCAACAGATAGAAGTAAGATTAGTAGCGATCAAAAGCGCTTTTTTATCGCATTAAGCCTATACCCCCTTTCATTTTTCGGGGACACTCCCTTTAATTCAATTTCTCAAAGGCCAATAACAACGATATATTTTTTATATAATCCTCTTCCTTGTAAGTTCATCAAAGCAACCCCCCCCCACACTACTGTTTTTGTTTTATGTAAAACAATTCTTGATCTTTGTGTCTCATGTTGTGAACTAGATTCATCACGAAATCCTAGATTATTATATTCACGTGTTGCATCATCACTGTGGTATATATGCGTTTTAAATAATTTTTGCATCATCCTTGTGGTAATGCGTTTTAAATAATTTTTGCATCACCCTTGTTGTAATATGCGTTTTAAATAATTTTTGCATCATCCTTGTGGTAATATGCGTATTGCGTTTTGAATAATTGTATGGCCTTTACTCTTCTGATGCCATTGACATTTTATGTTTTCTGCACTTTTAGAGTTATTTCAACTGTGTCATATTCAATTTTTAGCTGTAAACAGTCCGTATAGACCGTTATATAAACTTTAATAAATTAGGATATATTTTAATTTGGGTTTTCTGTTACTTTATCAAGTGTTTAAATGTGTAATAGAAGTGTCTAAATCTTTATTTTATCTCATAATGCCTAAATATAGGGTGTCCCAATAAATATGGTAATTCGATATCGTCTTTTAAAATAATTCTTTGATTTAGTATAGCAATACCTACTGAGAAAGCTGTAATCTGTAAGAGTTTCGTCTGCTATGTTCACATTTTGTTTGTTTATGTTTTGACTGCATACGGTTGCACTTAGTAAAACAAGAAAATTACAGTATACAAACAGTGTAAACTTTTCCGTCTTCACTGTTCATCTTGCAGAGACATTATAGACACATCTTTACAGCCCTTTACCCTCTCTTCATAAAATAAACTTTAGCAGACATACTAATATTATGGCTTTTTAAATTAGGTATTACAATTCATAACAAGACAATATCCAATTCGTCACTGAAATCCTATGTTTTTGGGACACTCAGTATATACTAAAATTTGGGATAAACTAGACATAGTTATGCGACGATAATGGTTCAACTTTAATTAAGTTCAACGTTAGTCGTATTGAAATCAAAACTTTTACATGGATGTTTTTATCGGTTTACTTTCCAAGTTAACATTTTTAAGTAAGTACTAAATCCGTAAAGAAAAGCTGGCTAGTAGTTTAAATTTTTAATGGTTTCTGATTGTTAAATGTTTTTGCCAGAGATCGAAAGGGAAAAAGCAGTTCACCCTCAAGGCGATGTGGGCGCATTACTTTTATGTCATTCATTTCCAAACAGTTGAGCCTTAGCTTTTCAGTTCAACCGTTTTAACGTTTATTAAAAGAAGGAAAAACAAAACAGATATGACAATCCAAATTTTTTTCCTGTCACAGCACAGGCATAGCACCCTAAACTAATCTTTCGGTGCGTACAGGAGTGATCTGCAAGTTCATTAACCAAAGAAAATGTGGGTTTTAGCGGAGCTTGATAGTCCTACACACAGTGATTACCACTCATTTTTCCATAAAGGATCTGAGTTTATGCCAAACAATAAAATTCTTAATTCCTAAATTTTTGCAACTTGATGATGTAAACCTTTGAGATTCAAAATTTGAACAGATTTGACAGAATGAATAGTTTGAAATATCTGAGGTCACGAGGTTGGAGTGCATGAATACAGAGATTATAAAATCAGAGTTTGTGACAAAGACTCATTACCTCTGATGTTTTGGAGGGGGGGGGGGGGGGGGGGTAAGTAATATGTATATTGTTGTATTGATGATGCTTGAACTCCTTGAACAGTGAATATATTGATGAAACTATTGAGGATTGTCTGCTTCAGTGTTTATAGCTGTCAGCTTTTTATATGCACAATCAGACAAACTAGGATTTAGGAACAATACTCTCGCTACCAACTCTTAATTTATAATCCCTATATCTTCACAAACCTTTTATATTTAAAACAATGAATTATCTATATAATAAAACAAGACATTCGTATATATATATATATATATGTATATGTTGCGTAGAGCCGGGTGGACCGATTGGGCTGAAAATGTTGGAGGACATTAATGGATGGCTTTGGGTTGTTATAGGCTAAAAAAAATCGAAATAAAAAAATTGGATTTTTATTTATTTATTTTTTCAATTTTTTTTTCCACGGGCAACGCCGGGCCCTTCAGCTAGTGTTAAATAAAAAGTCTAAGTTTAAAATATCAAAGGTTTACATATTATCAGCTGACATAGTTGTAAGAATTAAAAATTGAGTTGGTTACTGGATTTTTAAAATTATTGAATAATTATAATTATGATCGAATTATTGAACACTCCCTTTAATGAATTATTAAATATTGATAAAAAAAATCTAATTTTGAATGTTTTAATTTAGAATATCATATTCTCTGACCTATTCGGCAGTTAACTTTACCTCTGTGGAGAAAGGAAAAGATATTATTCCACTTGAAGGTAAGAATGTTAAATTGTCAAAAATATTAAAGTCAGATATTTCAATTCTCTGAACTGCAAGATTTTGATTTTGAATTAAGCGTGACGGTTGGACGGACAGGAAATCTGTTCAATGTTATTTAAAGGTTTTTATCAGGGAATAGGAATAAAGGGAAAGGAAATGGCGCTGGTCTGGCATGAGAAAGCCAGTCATACTGCTTTGCAGACAAGTTTGGTAAACCTTACACACACTCTTTTGATACAGACACACACCATGACTACAGTCAAGGAAATTGCAGAACAATGTTGTCAATTATAATTAAACTTGAATAACGACTATTTTTATTGTAAACTTTAATCAAATTATATTCTTTGCATGAACATTTGGCTCATAGTGTTGACTTAAATATATAAATAATATACTAAATGTATATATTAAACTTATTTTTATGTAAAAAAATAACAATATTTATTTGAATTTATAGTCTGAAATTTCAAAAGCCTACGTTATTAAGTATAAAATAAGTATAAGAAAGTATTAGAATTTTTGGCAAGTTATAACAAACCAGTTCATATTTAATGGTTTTATAAATATTAACATTTATCTATCTTATATATAGATAATTGATATTATTAATATAAATAATTTTTCTATTTACTAGGTACTGAACATCAAAGTTACATAATTGAAGGATTAACCTGTAATACAACTTATAGAATAGAGATCAAGGTACACAGAATTATATTAGATTATACCAAGGTACTGAACATCAAAGTTACATAATTGAAGGATTAACCTGTAATACAACTTATAGAATAGAGATCAAGGTACACAGAATTATATTAGATTATACCAAGGTACTGAACATCAAAGTTACATAATTGAAGGATTAACCTGTAATACAACTTATAGAATAGAGATCAAGGTACACAGACTTTTATTAGATTATACCAAGTGTTAAACAGTGAGATCCATAACAATGTGGCATGGGAGACTGCATTATAAGCAATCCTATGCGTATTGGAATTAGCAAATAGTCACCACAGTAGCTTAACAGTTAAATTATCAAGTGAAAGAGGTCTGTCGAGCTGAAAACTTTAGAATGGTGGATATCGAGATTAATGCTTGATCCTCTCTTTTTCATAATATCGAGATTCGAGACTAACCTAATCTTGTACCTGTAATTGTATCCTGAAAAGTGAATAAAATTCAACCAATCAGAGTCGCGTACATGAAGCCGATAAATTTGAAATTTTGCGCGCCATTTAAGATTATACAGAAACGTGAGGGAATCTCTTATGCTAAAAAGCCCGGTTTTGGATTTTTCTCTACTATATCCAAGAAAGAACGGTTTAAGAAGAAAATCAAAAGTGTGTCCATTGGATACTCAGATTAAGTACTTGGGATTAAAGATATCTTATTCTAAAGTTTTCAGCTCTGGCTAGACTGTATAATTGCAGTTTTTCATTGCACTATTTGATATAGTAATTTTAGTCTAAGTCGTCATCATATTCAGCAGTTGTATAGGTCTTAATGTATTTCAAATGCAATGCTTCCAAACTTAACTATTCTCCATGCTTGTGTCAAATGTCTAATCTCCAGTGTTTTCTGTGTTTTGAAGTACATTAAAACATGAACTATCATCATAAACCTCGTAAAACAAATAAGATTATTTTTTTCAGGCTAAATCACTTTTTGGGACAAGTGAACCTGGTTTTACCTTATTTGAATATATTTGTCCAGAAAGGTAATTCTATTATTGTTATCATTATTATCATTATTATTATTATAGTTTAGTAGCATTACTATTATTATTACTATTGTAATAGTTTTAGTATTATTCTGAATACTTTTCATTAATGTAATTATCATTAATGTTATAACTATTGTAATTGTTATCGTAATAATTATCAAATTAATCAATATAATTTTATCATTATTTTTCTATTATTGTTACGTTATTATCTACTATTTTTTAGAATTGATGCCAAGAGTATACCTTGGGCCTTGGTTGCAATGAATCAGTCTGTTTACAAAAAAGATCTTCGCCCTAGTAAACAATTTGAGGCCGTCATTCTTTTATCTCAGGTATTGGAGGCTTTTCTATTGTATTGGAGGATAGCCTCATCTCCTCTTATCTCAGGTATTGGAGGCTTTTCTATTGTATTGGAGGATAGCCTCATCTCCTCTTATCTCAGGTATTGGAGGCTTTTCTATTGTATTGGAGGATAGCCTCATCTCCTCTTTTAAGAATAACAACTTCAATGTCAGGTATAGGAGGCTGTTTTCTTTTTATATCAGGGATCGAAGGGTGTTTTTCTTTTATCCCAGGTAAATGCTGCTTTTTACACCTTATATTGGAGGCTGTTATTTCTTATACTCCATGGTGTTGGAGGCTGTTTTTCTTTATTCCAGAATTGGAGGCTTTTATATATATCATACCAGCTATTCCATGCTGTTTATGTGTTATTTTAGGCGGTTTCCCTCATATCCCAGGTATTGAAGGCTAGTTTATTCTTGAGAATTACCTTTTTTTTAAACCCAGAATTAATAAAAGTTTTAAAAATATTTAACTTGACATATTGATTTTATGTATTTGTTGCATTAAATCTTATTAAATCCATGATTGACAGTTTAAGATTTTGAATGTGCATATGTTTTAGATCTATCTAGTTAACCTTGGTTGTATATTTTAAAAAATGTTTAAACATTTATTTGTATTAAAAATAAATAGTTTCATAACATAAAGGTTTCTGTAAAGTGTAAGAAAAAATTTACATATTTAGAATGATAAAGTTATTTTTAAATTTTTATTTTTCGGCGAGTTTAAAAATTCATTTATGATAAATTAAACTTGAAATCTTTTAGATTAAAAAAGTATCTAAAATCTTATTAATAAAGATAGATACTCGAGAAATATCGTAAACCACAATAAACCTGTTATTACCATGAACAAAGTAAATTTAAAATCAAATTGAATTAATAATTTTTTCTTCAGTTTGATGAATTTATCAAGTGCCTGGATGTGCATCAAGAATACAGGTAAATATGCTTTTTTATGTGTTAAAGTGAAATGTAATGAAAATATGTCAACAAATTAAATTTTTATATCTTTGCAACCTGATTTCGTAGACCTTTAATATTTCTATGAGTTCGCATGAATGAATTAATCAGCTATTTGTATATTTAAAGTCAAACATTATCCGAGATTAAAAATTTTGTGGGATTACGCTTTGATCTCAATATTGTGCAGATCTGCATGAGAGATTGATTAGATTCCTACCCTGTCATACCCTGCAGGAATAACTAAAATGATCGGATGAAGCACATATATTTAAATTTTAACGAGATTAAACGTTGTAGATCGGTAACATCTTACACAAATGATATGACTTCAGGTTGCAAAGATAAAGAGTTTGAGGCGAGTAATCAGTATATTTGAGGAAAAAACTCCAGTTATCTAATTCTAGATGAATCGGGTTTCAAAATGTTTATTTTAGTTTAATGTTTAATATGACTGAAATTGTCTGATTTTTAATTGTTTTTCTTTTAACGAATTTGAAGAAGAAATATTTTTGTTTTCAAGTAATATATTTCAGGTTTATGTCTAAAGTTATATATTTCAGGTTTATGTTTTCAAGTAATATATTTTAGGTTTATGTTTTTAAGTGATATATTTCAGGTTTATGTTTTCAAGTAATATATTTCAGGTTTATGTTTATTGTTTTCAAGTAATATATTTCAGGTTTATGTTTGTTGTGACTGAAAGTAATATATTTCAGGTTTATGTTTATTATGACTGAAAGTAATATATTTCAGGTTTATGTTTATTGTGACTGAAAGTAATATATTTCAGGTTTATGTTTATTGTGACTGAAAGTAATATATTTCAGGTTTATGTTTATTGTGCCTGAAAGTAATATATTTCAGGTTTATGTTTATTGTGACTGAAAGTGGAAAACTTTTCAGAGAATCTATTTTTAAAGATTACGAAGAGACAAGAGACCAATTTGTACTTAATACAGGTTGGTATTGTAAACATAAACAATAAAGGGGACAGGGATCGAATGGAGATCAAGCCAAGATACTTTTGATTCATAGTTTTAATTATAGAGATACCCGCGATTTAATAAATTTGGCAAAATATGGCTCGGGTCTAAGCTGCAATTCGTTGGGCCCTATTGACGGATTGAGCTTTCGGATACAAGCTGCATCTTATTTTCCACACAGTTGAGTTAAAAAAACCGGTTTAATATTCTATTTGGCGGATTTTCATGGTACGAGTTGGTACATTCCGGGTTTTTATGCGAACAAGACTCAACATTAAGCCTTATTCTCCACTAAAACCAACCAAGGTCGGTTTTATTTTTCATTGGACCTAACTCCTTAAGTTGAACCGAAGATCTTGCAGCTGTCAATCACGTGACACAAACTGTCGTCAGAGTTAAGTCGAAGATTGGGTCTTAAATATAAAATTGTAATCTCTGTTTGTCTCTATGTTTCTCTGTTTGTCCGATCATAACTCTTGCAACTCTGACTGATTTGCTTCAAATTTTTATTGGGGAACTCGGGAGAATGACGGTAATGTTCTTAGCTTGATTTTGAAATTCTGAAATGAAAATGGAAAAATAGCTAAAATCGCAATTCGGAACCAAACGCGGCTATATGGCGGCAGGAGTATCTATGAGCATACAGTTATTGATCGAATTTCTTCAAATGTTAATTTGAGAAATCGAGAAGGTATACTTGGTTTACTTGGTTTAAACGTTTTAAGTTGAATGTGCTGATTTATAAATAAAGTTTAGTTTCCAGGCAAAGCTGAGTTCACAAACTATTTTAGGAAAATTTTTAAGAAATTTAAATATTTCTTCGATATTCATTTTTTCCTGTTAACTTTATCCTATCTATTCCCATTTTTTATCAGCCCAGCTACAATTTAAACCACTGCACCCCCCCCCCCCCCCCCCCCCCCCCCCTCTCGAGTTCTTACTAGTCGCAGCCACATCGTTAATAAGGATTTATTTGCCTGGATTTACATTACAACCAACTTTACCTAATTAATAATGTTTCAGGATATTTAGATTTTTCTGATTCAATTTAAAAATTGATATTAAAGCACGTACGTATTATGTAAGATGGAATTGAGTCTTTGCCACAATCTTACATATTCTAACCCCTATATCTTTGTAACCTTATGGTGTACAGCTTTAATATTTTAAACTTAAGACTAGTTTATCTATCAGAATTCATATTTAAAATATCTAAGATCTACAATATCGGGTTGCAAAGATATAGGAATCAGAAATTCAGAGTTTGTGGCAAAGATTAAATGTCTTTTCTAGGAGAAGATCCTGTAGAGTATATAACAGTGGACTGGTTGTACGACAAATTATATATTTTAAAAAGAATAGAAACAGGAATTTCAGCTTTTAGCCAGGTAACCCATAGTGCATTGTTGTCAATTTTTTACTAAAATTTTACAGGGTGATAGAATTACCAAAATAAAAAAAAGATTTACCAGAATTTTTTTTTCCTACAAGGATCAAAATCTAATTCTTACAGGTGCTTAAGTTTGTTCTATCGTAGTTTCGAATTTCGTATCCCTATATCTTTGGTACGCAATGTCGTAGGCCTTAGATGACAATTACACAACAGAGCACTTATTCCTTGAGACTGTGGTCTATTCTTAAATTTTTGGACAAATTATTTTGGCATTGGTTTTATTTCAATTCTGATCTAGGATTGGATAATTGATATCTGTGAGCTGGATGGATTAAAGTGTAAGAGAATGCAGCATTTTTTTACCAGAAAACCACAACACTTACAGGTTAACGTTTATAATTAATCGGATAATCATGTGTTTAGATGAGGACCTTAATTCGAAATTCGAAATAAAGATTATTTACAAAATTTTAAATAGAATTTTTTTCTATTGAATTTCTTGAGAACAGGAGCAAGCGAAATAAAAAAATAGTTAGTTCTAAGCCAAAGTTTCTGAGAATTTTTATTAAGACGTTAAAAAAGTATTCACGCCTGCTGCCTAATACTTGTTAACATTAGCCCAACCTAGAAACCCGTTTATCAGACCCAATATAAAGTATTCACAAATCGATATCCAGGTTGATCCGTTCCATGGTTACCTGTACTGGGTGGATAAGGACGAATATGATTCTCTTCTCCGGGTTAACCTGACACACACAGGCTGCTCCGTATATCCACAGCTTATGCTCAAGTAAAAACATTATTTAAAAAATGCATTCTTTTTGTATTTTGAAAAAGTATTTTTAATCGTAAAAATTATGTAAAACTGACTACTTTGTGGGAAATCAAGGGTAAACCGCGAAAGTAAATGATTCTGTAGTCTGAAAATCGCTTTATATTTGAAGGAAAACACAGAATTTAAGGTGAAAGCTAAAAATCTCCTCACCATAAAGTTTAGATTTACTCACCCCAAAGATATACATTTACTCACCACAGTATTATAGATTTATTCACCACAAAGTTATAGATTTACTCACCACAAAGTTATAGATTTACTCACCACAAAATTATAAAGTTACTCACCACAAAGTTATAGATTTATTCGCCACTAAGTTATCGATTTACTTACCACAAAGTTATAGATTTACTTACCACTAAGTTATAGATTTACTCACCACAAAGCTATAGATTTACTCACCACAAAGTTGTAGATTTACTCACCACAAAGCTATAGATTTACTCACTAAAAATAGATAGATTTACTCACCACAAAGCTATAGATTTACTCACCACAAAGCTATAGATTTACTCACCACAAAGGTATAGAAAGTTGTAGATTTACTCACCACAAAGGTATAGATTTACTCACCACAAAGGTATAGATTTACTCACCACAAAGCTATAGATTTACTCACCACTAAGCTATAGATTTACTCACCACTAAACTATAGATTTACTCACCACTAAGCTATAGATTTACTCACCACTAAGCTATAGATTTACTCACTAATAAATACATAGATTAACTCACCACAAAGCTATAGATTTACTCACTTCAAAGCTATAGATTTACTCACTGAAAATAGATAGATTTTCTCACCACAAAGCTATAAATTTACTCACCACAAAGTTATAGATTTACTCACAACAAAGGTATAGATTAACTCACCACAAAGCTATAGATTTACTCACTACAAAGCTATAGATTTTCTCACCACAAAGTTGTAGATTTACTCACTAAAAAATAGATAGATTTACTCACCACAAAGGTATAGATTTACTCACCACAAAGTTATAGATTTACTCACCGCAAAGGTATAGATTTACTCACCACTAAGCTATAGATTTACTCACCACTAAGCTATAGATTTACTCACCACAAAGCTATAGATTAACTCACCACTAAGCTATAGATTTACTCACCACAAAGGTATAGATTTACTCACCACTAAGCGATAGATTTACTCACCACAAAGCTATAGATTTACTCACCACTAAGCTATAGATTTACTCACCACAAAGGTATAGATTTACTCACCACTAAGCTATAGATTTTCTCACCACTAAGCTATAGAATTACTCACTAAAAAGTTATAGATTTACTCATTACTAAGTTATAGATTTACTCACCACAAAGCTATAGTTTTACTTACCACAAAGTTTCAGATTTGCTCACCACAAAGCTAAAGATTTACTCACCACAAAGCTATAGATTTACTCACCACAAAATTATAGATTTACTCACCACAAAGTTATATATTTACTTACTACAAAGCTATAGATTTATTCACCACAAAGTTATAGAATTGATAACCAAACAGGTATAGATTTGCTCACCATAAAGCTATATATTTACTCACCACAAAGCTATAGATTTACTCACCACAAAGCTATAGATTAACTTACCACAAAGCTATAGATTTACTAACCACAAAGTTTCAGACTTACTCACTAAAAAGTTGTAGATTCACACAACGTTGTAGATCTAAAAAATAGCTGTGTCTATCGAGCTTAAAAAGATTGCGGATCAATGGTCTCTAAAGGAATTAACAATGCAAAAAATCCGATCTCTAAAATGAAAACTTTAAAATTGTGGATATTAATATCTAAATCTTTACCTAGTTTGTATCCAACAAATGCCTAAATTCTTCCAATCAGAGTGTATTTAGAATCCAAAACAAGCAATAAGAAACCGGAAAAGGAATTAATGAGTCTTTCCAACAAACTCAGATACATATATCTTAGCAACCTGATGGTGTAAACCGTTGATATTTTATACTTCAGTTATTGGATCTCGGAGATCTCATAATTTGAAATATCTAAGGTCTATGACATTCAGTTGCAAAGATATAGGGATTAGAAAATCAGAGTTTGGGGCAAAAACTCAATTTCTTTGTAATTTTGCGCCCCGGAATCCGAAAGGGATATCCTAAGGAAAAGGGAAAAGGAGCAGATTAAGCAGAAATCAAAAATGTCCACAATGGATATTTAGATTAAGCAATCGGTAATAACAATATCCAGTTTTAAAGTTTTCAGCTCTGATACTTCGTTACAATTCCGATTCTTGATTTTCTCCCAACAGTAATATATTTCAAATTTAAAAAAAATAATCTTTTTTTTGCAGGAGCTTAAGCTTAGGCCCGTTTGTAGTTTCCTTTACAGATTACTCTGTATATATACCAGTACTAGACAGAAACATGATGTTTCAAGTTTCTCTTAAACCACCCTTCAAGGTAGCTAATATGTATTTGGTCAGTTAAATGCAATTTTATTTGTTTTAGAGGGTTTCTTCAATCTTTACGATAACATCTTGTGTTTAAGCTTCCCTATAATATAAATTTTATTTTTTACATGATTCGAAAATTCATAAAAGTACATTGAAACCCAAAAACCAGTAGCTTGAAAATCAACTTATTAATTAAGTGAATTAGGTAAAAGTATTATTCATAGGTCATAACATTTAACAGTCGTCGACCTAATTCTACAGGTTTATGGGTTCCACTTTCGTTCATAAAGGAAATGCGATTTTGCAACAAACTCTAATTTGCTAATCCCTATATCTTTGAAACATGATATCGCAGAACTTTGTTATTTCAAAAAAATTAATTCTGTAAGATAAAATTGTCCAAGTTAAAAATATGAAAGATTTACAGCAACAACTTGCTAATATATAGGGATTAGAACATTTTAGTTTGTTGCAAAAACCTTCCTTTCGAGCTTTAGATTTATAAAATTATCTAAGAACAATCTAAAGGTTTTTAAACATGGCAAACTTTAGACTGCAAAATATAAACTGTAAACAAAATAGTTTAAATAAATCCTTTAGACTGAAAAATGTTTTTTAAACGTTATTTAACTTAGTTTATTTTATTTGCCTAGGTGACGGTGCTTAACGAGACCAGAACGGGTACCCGGGGTTTTGATGATGTCGATGCTATAGTCAGATATAATAATATTTTCTACTGGACTTCATCACAAGGTTTGTTTATATATATATTAACTGGACATCATCACAAGGTTTATATATATATATCATCATATATTGTTTGATGATGTTGATGATACAGTCAGATATAATAATATATTCTACTGGACTTCATCATAAGGTTTATAAAGATCAAAAATATCAATTAAAAAAAGATTTTTTAAAAATTTTGACCCTCAAATTATTTAGTGACATGTTTGACATATATATATATATATATATATATAAGAATGTTCATCTGTTTTTTTTAGCTATAGATTTACTCACCACTAAGCTATAGATTTACTCACCACAAAGCTATAGATACCTTGGGCCTTGGTTGCAATGAATCAGTCTGTTTACAAAAAAGATCTTCGCCCTAGTAAACAATTTGAGGCCGTCATTCTTTTATCTCAGGTTCCCCCGTCCTCTAAGCTTTAGTTAGCATTCTTAAAATTTACCAAAGACCTGAAAAACTTTTAACTTATTGTATTTGCCAAAAAGTACATTTTTAAGTAGTTTATGGCAGTCTTAAAATGAAGTATCACTTGAAAATTCATTAGCTTGCAAATAGTTTTTCCTCAATTATCATACAGATTGAACTTACATTAATCAGGCGATGATAAAATGGTCGGACCCAATGACTGGGTTTGAGGAAGGGTGTGCTAGTTATAAAGCCTGGAGATACAGGATACAGATCCATGATGGAACTAACAAAGTGATTGCTAGCTACGATAATGTGACAGATTTGAATTTTTCTCAGGTATGTATAACAGTGATTGCTGTCTTTTCTTAATATTGAATTTATTAATTTATAAAAATTGCCATCATCGTATTATAGATTTACTCACCACCAAGCTATAGATTTACTCACCACAAAGCTATAGATTTACTCACCACTAAGCTATAGATTTACTCACCACTAAGCTATAGATTTTCTCACTAAAAACATCTCCTCTTATCTCAGGTATTGGAGGCTTTTCTATTGTATTGGAGGATAGCCTCATCTCCTCTTATCTCAGGTATTGGAGGCTTTTCTATTGTTATTTCTAAGTCCCTAAAACAATTTTGAATTGAAAGAAAGAATGAAGAGCACAATCATGCCACTGTTTTCTGATTACTAACTATAAATAAATTTGGCTGGTCTGTCTGGGTGGGTGTATGTTTGTTTGTATCCAATAAACGTCAACACGGCTGAACCGATCAGGCCCGAATTTTTTGTAGGACATCACGTGACTCCAGGGAAGGTTTATGAATGTTAAGATTAAAAAAATTTGTTAAAAGTTTTTTTATTTTTGTGAAATTTTTTAAAATCTAGAAAATCCGCAAATTTCTTTTTTTTAAACCACGAAATTTTATTCTTTTTTGTTTTAAAATGTACACAAAAAGAACATGTTCACAATTTAAATGGAAGATTGGCGCGAAGCGACCTAAAAGCCTTGTACTGTAAAAAATCTGGACTCAACAAATAAAGCATCATAAAAGTCAAATTATCAACGTTATGCCATTTTTAATAATTATTATTGGAAAGTCAGTTTTAATTGTGTATCCCCCCCCGCACCTTTGAAATATTTGTGAACGATCCTTTTAAATTTTTCCAAAGGAATTGAGTTTTTGCCACAAACTCAAATCTTCTGATCCCAATATCTTTGCAACCTGATGGTGCAAACCTTTGATATTTCAAACTTAGCTTATTTAATCTTTAAGTATTAATGGTTTGAAATATCTAAGGTCCACGGTCTACGAAAATCAGAGTTTGTGGCAAAAACTCAACTCCTTTCAGGACGGTGATCTTAGCTCCGACATGTTCTACAGTGTGAGGGTTCAGGCCTTCTCTAAAGGTGGTGGGGGCCCCTGGAGTAATCCGTTCTCAGGGAAAACCTTAAACACTAATAAAACCCCGAGCATATTCTGGGCGGATCAGAAAAATATCCACACCACCGATCTATTTGGATACCAGGGGAACTCATTCTCACACAACTTATCACGTATAGAAAACATTCTTTACGTAGATATTTCAAGTTCCCTTTTGTGGAGTAGTTCAGATTTTATCTTCACAAACTTCAACAAGAAGAAATGGATTCCAGAGAAGCTGCGAAATGAAGATTCTCTGATTGGAAGTATGGTATTTGAGGCTCTTGGGAGCAGACTTTACTACTCAGTTCCCTTCCATCAACAAATACGGAGAATAAATTTAGAAGGAGAAGTAGAACTTTCAGTTTCCCTAACATCTCCAGCTAAGAACTTGTTGGTTGATAGCTCTATTGCTGTCCTATGTTGGATTTCATCATTGAACGGACTTGAGTGTTCTCGGTTAGATGGAGAGAACAAAACTGTTTTCCATCAAGTTGGAATCTGGGATGACCAGAAGATTCTGAGCGCTGCTATAGATCCTCAGAATCATGATGTATATTTCATCTTGTATAATCCTAAACAGTTTCCTAAATATGAATACCACAGGAAGAACATTCTCACTAATTACCATGAGAAGCTAGGCTCCCTTACACTTCAACATCTTGAATCCTCTCTATACTACACCTCTGGGAAATTAATATTCTTAGAGGGGCAGAGATCAATTGTAACCTTTGACATGGAGGGTAAGAGTATTTCTAGACTTTCCCTTGCTAGTCCAACCTTATCCTTTACTCTCTCGTTTGAAGTCAGTTCGTTGTTCCCAGTGAATTTCGGAGATTCCAAGTCTCTAATTGTAACACCAGATGGCGTTGATGGTGACACTATACATGTAAAAACTACTAAAGGAACTTATCATATAGTCTGGAGACCTGTAAACAATACAAATTATGGAGACCTGGTTTATGAAGTTAATTTTCTAACTCATAAAACTATTGTTTCTTCTCCAGAAATATCATTAAACACAGTTGGAACCTTTAAACCATATCAAGCTATAAATGTATCCATCACTGCTCGGACCCCCTGGGCAAGCTCTGGTCCAACTAGGAGTCTGATCTACACCCCGGAGAGTATACCTAGTAAGCCTAGACTATTGCGTGTATACTGGAAAGGAGTATCCCCTGGAATGAATGAATATACAGTTCGCTGGCTTGAACCGGAAGATGAGAATGGGAAACTGTTGCATCATATAATCCGTTGTATTGATACTAATTCTCAACAAGAAATCTGTCCCAACGCAACAGTACAGTACCCAGATACAGAGATTGCGCTTGTGCTGGTGAATACAGATATTCAATTCTCAGTGATTGCAGCAACATCTCAAGGACTAGGATCTGAAAGCAACTTCTTTGTCACCAAGTCCACAGAGATTTATCCTATTCCTCGAGCAGTTTATGGGTTGGTGAAACCTCCTAGAGTTATGCTGTCTGATGTTGATTCAGGAGAAAGCAAGATGATCAATGTCCCTGTGGATCCACATTTTATAGTTTATAATGCTAAGGGGAACTCTTTAATCATTGTAAACAACAATGGTGAAGTTTATGAGCTTGATTTGGAGAGGGAAACTGCAACTTATATCAGAAGATTGGAATCTAATATTGATTATGTTATGTTTGATGGAATTGGTAGATACCTCTACTATGTTCATGGAAGAGATATAAAAAGAATAGATTTTGAAAACCAAAGAACAGAAGCACAAGATATTTTCTCATCTTCTGATCGAATTACAACGCTTGAAATCTCATCCGATGGACAATTTTTCTACACTGATGTAAAAAATAGAATGTTTACATTTAAGCTTTCAAGTGGGGGACATATGTCTGATATCAAAGGGTTAGGACAAAGCTTACCCAGTGATAGGAACTGCAATTGTAGATCAATTGAAAAAATATCAACTTTTTCAACAATAAAGCATAACAAGCAGTTTAGCTTGTCACTAAGGAACAAGAAAACCGGAGATGTATTTATAGCAGATACTGAGCTATGCAAATGTACAAAAATAGCTAGTACACAATTAAATGAAAAAGTAAATATCAAGGCAGATATGACAAACGTGTATGTTCTTCAGGGTATGCAGGCAAACATGACTGTGTTCAGCCTATGGAATAAGGATGTATCATTAGTTGACTCTAAAAATATGTTGAATTTTGATATCATCAGCATGAATGTTATGTGTATTCAATGTGACCAAATAGAGACTGATTGTGTTAAAATCAGTTCTACCAAACAAAATGTTGAATATGTCGCCATACGAGAAACATACTCAATGGTTAAACTTCCATTTCCAATGATTAGTGGATCTTGTAACAAGAGTATACAGCTTCCATCAACCAACTACACAGTATCATACCATCTATCTACATCTGATCTAGACGATGAGTCTGAGATCAAAAGCTTGTCATACTACAATACTGGGAACTTGGAGAACCGAACACTGAAAATTGATAATCTAGTTCCTAACTCTAGATACACATTGTGTGTCAGAATGTTTAATGTTTATTCACAAAGTAAAGATGAACATGAAACAGATCTTAATCGGTTTTGTTCTGAATTCACAACTGAAGAAGGACATTCAGGACCACCTGAGCATATTGTAGCCCATGTATTGTCTCCTAGTGAAGTTAGAGTATCATGGGAAGCCCCAACAAAAGTATACTCTAGTAAATTAAACTATGAGATATATTGGAAAAGTACTGAGTTTATTAACGGAGTGTATTCTAGTGGAAATGTGGTTTCATTGCATGAAGGAAATAAAACCAGAATAATTTCAAATCTTCCACCAAATCAAACTTTTGAGATGTGGATGACTTCGCTCAGTCCCAAAGGAAAGGTTAGTGCTAAAAGTCAGATTTTAAAGGTTCAGACATTTTCAACTCCAAAGCTGGTTAAGGTACTTAGCATTGAACCTAGAAGAATAAATTTCAGCTGGGTTAACACAGAGGAAGCGGTTGAAACTCATCAATTCATCTACTATTCAGTTACAGAAAATGCAACTCAACACTATTTACCTGAAACCCCCATGACAAGTGAATATCTAAGAGCTTACTGGTTTAGTATACCAAACCTATCTCCTAGTCATTGTTATATGATTAAAGTTCTTGTTACATACAAGAGCAACCCTGGTCACCAACTCGTGTGGCCAGTTCAGGAGGAAAGTTGTGTTATGACTGAAAAGGATAAACCCCTAGTCCCTGGGGTACCTTATCTTGACTCTAAGGAGAACAATCACATCACCCTGACTTGGAAGAGAAATGAGGAGAAGGTTCTGCAGTATGAACTTCAGAAAATGACCTTGTATGAAGAAGATAAGTGGATAACTATTTACAATGGTACTGTTAATCAATTTATTGCAAGTGGACTTGCCAATGGAAATTATACTTTTAGAGTTAGAGCATTTAATTCCAATGGCTTCAGTAATTTCAGTATCCCCAGCATGCCAATTGATTTAGAAATGGTAAGACAGCTACAATTGATATCAAATACGAATGATAAAGTGACTATCGGGGCAATTTGTGCTGGAGCAATTGGATTAACCATTGTTGTCTGTGTCCTTTACTTTCTGGTGACACAAAATAGGTTTGCTATGAAGAAGAAGTGCTTGCTTTCTTCTCATCATCCAGCAGACACTGAGCTAGCCAACCTTCGAGAGCTACCTATTAGAGGAGGATTTATAAACTGCAACAACCCTATGTATAATCAACTTGAAGTGGTTAGTGATGAAGACCTGGCTATGATACCAAAAATCAAAAGATCACAAATTACACTCACTAAATTTTTGGGCAGTGGCGCTTTTGGGGAGGTTTTTGAAGGAGGGGTTAAAGAGCTTGATTCAGAGGACGGAGTTGAAACTAGAATTGCTGTCAAAACTCTGAGAAAAGGAGCAACAGATAATGAAAAACTAGAATTTTTGAAAGAAGCCAAACTAATGTGGAATTTTAAGCATGATCATATCCTAAACCTCAATGCAATATGTTTGGACAATGATCCAAACTTCCTTATCCTCGAGCTTATGGAGGCTGGTGACCTTCAATCCTACCTCAGGGCCCACAGACCCAAGGGACCAAACCAAGGACTCAACCTTCTAGACCTTGTAGAAATGTGCTTGGATGTAGCCAAAGGTAGGGATGATTATTTCATATTATAAAAGATATGTTAACAATAATTCTGAAATATTCAGGCTGTGAGTACCTTGAACAGCTTCATTTTGTTCACCGTGACCTGGCAGCTAGAAACTGCTTGGTTTCCTCATATGATCCAGCTAAGCGTAGAGTTAAAATTGGAGACTTTGGACTTGCCAGGGATATCTATAAAAACGATTACTACCGGTAAAACATTATAATCTTACATAATAAAGAGTTTATTAGATACTTGAATGTATTTCAGAGAATCAAAAGAAACCAATTATTGTAAAAATGTCTTTAAAGTGTTCATGTTTCTGGTTTACTTGACCTCTCAAAGTTTTACAAGATTGCCAAAAACAGAAGGAATTTTCAAATTGTTCATAAAACTTTTTTCAATGAATCAACTCAATTGGCTCAAAAATAACGTCACTATCCTTACCATACTTTATTATCATTAAATAAACCTATAAAAAAACGGTTTAGTTATGTCCATCAAGTTAAACGGCTTCTCCCACACCTGGCTCAATTTGATCTTAGCTGAACAGAGGTAGTTGAGCTAACCAAAGCTAGTTCAACCACCTCTTTCTTAGTTACAAGTTTCTTAAGATCAAACTTTTTTAGTAAGGAAGGTGAGGGTTTGCTGCCAGTACGGTGGATGGCTCCTGAATCCTTGATGGATGGAGTTTTTACAACTCAGTCAGATGTTTGGTCCTTCGGAATACTGCTCTGGGAGATACTTTCCATGGGAGCAAACCCGTATCCTACACTTTCAAACAGAGAGGTAAAGTAATTACAACTTCATAATCCTACACTTCATATCCTACACTTCATATCCTACACTTCATATCCTACACTTCATATCCTACACTTCATATCCTACACTTCATATCCTACACTTCATATCCTACACAGAGAGGTAGAGTAATGGTTTCTTTGTTGCAAAACCTTATGTGGAAACAGAAATGGCCGAACATTATTTTTATTCATTATTTATTTGCAATATGAAAGGTGATTTTCGGCCATAGCTGGAGCCACTTGTTGAACTAGTTTATTTCTACACCAAAAACAAGAAAGGACATATTTGTTTAATAACAAAAAGAAAAATATCATAAACTGTCATCATGTATATATTGTATATGCAAACTGTTAAGTAGGTCTTAAAAGATTTGTTTTTACAAAATAAGATCGCTTTAGTTTTTTTTGTTATTATAAAACTTGAATCATGTTCCTATAAACATTTTTTGTAGGTTATGCTGTATGTTAGAGCTGGGAATAGGTTGGAACAACCACCAAATTCTCCAGAAAGGTACCACCCCNGCCCCATTATTTACATGGAGGATAAGTAATTACCAAAACCAAAACTAAAGAATGCAAAGTTAAGGCTTGAATGTTAAACCTTGCAGTCTCGCATCACTTTCAATCAATTAATCATGCTTCTCTGCAAAATGATACAGCGTTTGCTTCTTCATATAACTCAATTTTTTTTACATAATATATAATAAGTCTGAAATTAAGCTTTAATTTAACCCTGAATTCATTCATGCTTGGCCCGTTCTTTACTTTTTGACTTTGGTATAAAATAAACATAGAAAAATAAATAACCTGAATTTCCTTGATCCTTGATCATTACTTCTCCCCGTTTACTAAGAGGATATGTTCTTAACCTCCATCTATATAATAAAGCTCTTCGCTAATATATATATGTTACCTATAGATGACCAAACGGCTGGACCGAATGGGCTGACTTTTTTTCAATGTTCGAATTCGTTTTTATTTCACGGGCAACGCTGGGCACTTCAGCGTTATTTTAAATTGTCCATATCTTTGCAACCTGATGATGTAAAGCTTTGATATTTCAACCTTAGATTAGCTGATTTGTCAGAATTCATAGTTTAGTTTGAAACATCTAAAATCTACGACATTGGGTTGCAAAGATATAGAGATAAAAAATCTTAGTAGGGTTAAAGTTTGTGGGGGGAACAACTTGACCAATTGGCCTCCAATGCATTTTTGATGTTCTAAACCTCACAAGCATTGCGTATGTAGAAAGGGGGGGGGCAATACATTGTATAATATTCATAGATTTTTTTTTTAAAGTTGATTTCAAAGAGGTTTTAGTTGATGCACTGCTTAGTCGACAATATCATTAAAATATATATTTTTAAATTAAGAATCTGTCAACACTAAATCATCCTTAGACATACTTTTATCTTCAAATATTCATTTTTAACCAATGTGTGTATGAAAACGAATGGCGCCATGGCATAACACACATTTGGGTGTTTGTATCCAATAAACGTAAAAACGGCTGATCCGATCGGACCGAAATATTTGTGATATATCTCACAAAATCCTTACAGCCGTTTCCAATTGATACACTTTATAAACATGGTTCTTTCACAAGGCACACATTTTGAAACCTAATTTAAATATCTTTGCATCCTGTATCATCTCTTATAATTATCATCATTAACATTGATTTTATTGAAATTATATTAATCATTATTTTTTATTATTATTATTATTATTGTCATAATGTTTATCGAAATTATTATTCATGATTTTCAAAAAAAATAATATGATTATTATTACAACTTTTATTTTTACCATTATTTTTTTCATTGTAATAATTTTAACTGTACAGGTTACATGAACTAATGACGTCATGTTGGTGTTATCTGCCCAGTGACCGGCCTAGTTTCAAGATGTGTGTTCAGGTCACAGTTACATTAAGAAATCTATATAAATATATAAAATAGTAATCTCTGATTATCTGTTTATTTGTTTGTGTCCGATTATAACCTCAAATTTTGATTGGGGAACTCGATAGTACCATGAAAATGGTTTTAGTTTGGTTTAACAATTCTAAGTTGAGTGGATTGAAGTTTAGTTTTCAGGCAAAGCTGGGTTCTCAAGCTAGTGGGAAACACTTTCGGGTAGGATAGCGCCTACACTGTAAAATTCAAGATTGTATATTTTATTCAGAATCGCGTAATCGGTAGATCACATCAATATTATTTAATACAATATTTCAAAATTTTGAACTATTCTGTTATTATTTTTGTTTATCCAAGCAACTAGAGATTTTTCGAATTATCATTTAAAACAAAAATTCTTAATGCAATGGTAAATTTAACTTGCCAGTGATTTTTATTCTGCTTTATTTAATAAATTATTTGATAATTAGGAATGACAAAGCGCCACTTCTAGACCCGCCACCACGGCGCCCGCGCCACTTGTGTGCCACCTGGTGGCCGAAAATGGCAACTAAATATTCCTTAATTTTGAATTAATTTGTGTGCTAAACAACTTTTTATGAATATTTTATTCCAAATAAGGTTCTGATCGCGCTATTCAAGAAAACATTAAAATTTCAAATTTGTTGAACTGCGTACAGAATAATTCAATATGAATGATTATTAGTGTTTTCAAAAGTTTTGATTAGCAAACATTTTTTATATTGGATTCATTTTGAAAATTTACAGTGTAGCCACTCCGATTAAACGATATATCCACAGCGTAAATTTTCCATCAAAAATCCACCAAAAGACAATTAAGAAATCATTAAAAGAAAGTAATTGTTTTTACATCAACGGAAGGTTCTGCGCATCATAAACAGATTGAAATTTAATGAAGATTAATATCATATAAAACTACTTTATTCAAGCGCAATTTTTGTGCTTTCATTTAAAACTTCTATGCTTGACAGAAAAAGAAAAAAACTTGCCTTGAACCAGAAAAATAGTTTTGATTTTAAATGACAAATATCATCTGTTCTATTATATTACAAGTTTGAAAATGAGAACTATATCTTGTTTATGAAAAAAAAATTATTTTCAAGTTTCAATTGAATTTAAATATAAAAAAAATCTAATCAACTTATTTATTAAAACTATTATTGCAGGAGATCGAATGTTTGATAGAACAAGATTCAAGTCTTAGTTCTCTTTCTAATTCCTTTGTTTCCTACATACGCAATACAGGGTAGAGTTTCATGCATTTAATTTCAAATATAGGGTAGAGTTTCATGCATTTTATTTGAAATACAGGGTAGAGTTTCATGCATTTCATTTCAAATACAGGGTAGAGTTTCATGCATTTCATTTGAAATACAGGGTAGAGTTTCATGCAGTTCATTTCACATATAGGGTAGAGTTTCATGCATTTCATTTCAAATACAGGGTAGAGTTTCATGCATTTCATTTCAAATATAGGGTAGAGTTTCGTGCATTTCATTTGAATTACAGGGTAGAGTTTCATGCAATTCATTTCAAATATAGGGTAGAGTTTCTTTCATTTCATTTGAAATACAGGGTAGAGTTTCATGCATTTCATTTGAAATACAGGTTAGAATTTCATGCATTTCATTTCAAATACAGGGTAGAGTTTCATGGATTTCATTTGAAATACAGGGTAGAGTTTCATGCATTTCATTTTAAATACAGGGTAGAGTTTTATGCATTTCATTTGAAATACAGGGTAGAGTTTCATGCATTTCATTTGAAATACAGGGTAGAGTTTCATGCATTTCATTTCAAATACAGGGTAGAGTTTCATGCATTTAATTTCACATATAGGGTAGAGTTTCATGTATTTCATTTGAAATACAGGGTAGAGTTTCATGCATTTAATTTGAAATACAGGGTAGAGTTTCATGCATTTCATTTGAAATAAAGGGTAGAGTTTCATGCATTTCATTTCAAATACAGGGTAGAGTTTAATGCATTTAATTTCAAATGAGTGTTTTATTGAAGGAAAAATTCGAAAGGGTACCAAAAAAAAACTTTAAAGTTGGGAATAGATATGAGCTGTGTTAAGAAATACATATTAAAAATAATTAACTTGTTTTAAAAATTTAAACAAAGTAAAATATACTATCAAGAATTTGGAGAACAATGTTTTGGTAATCGGTTCTTAAAAAAGGGTTTTAAGGATTTCATTATGAATCATTATTAAATGAAATGATACAATTATGTTGACAATCTGTTTTCATACTTTAATTCTTTTTAATCAAGTGAAATAATTCCACTCATGCTTCTTTGTTCATAGAAGTGGAAGTGAGTGTTCTCATCCCCACTTCCACTCAGCCACGACGGTTCCTGTATCCCAGATATCCCGTGGATTGAATAGCTCCGGTAGCGGAGGAAGAACTCCACCCTACTCAGACGTTAATTTAAAGTCTTCGGCACCTAAATATCTACAGTTGGTTCATGAAGGTAAAATCACGAATTATTATTCATACAGGATCGTATCTGGAGGGGTTACATGCCCCCCTTCCTCCCCCTCAAAGATTATGTTTAATGCGAAATAAGGATGGGCGGATTATTGGCAACTAATAATTTTGGTAACTACAATTTGGTAACTAATAATTTGGTAACTAATAATTTGGTAACTGGACAATTTGGTTTACAATAAAATTCTAAAATGAAATAAGCAGGACTGTTTGAAGATTTATGATTCATCAGGTTTATTAAACTTTCATATATCATGTACTTTTTTTACATATGATTACATTTTAACTACATGCTTAAGAGGAAACTCAAATTAGCGCATTAACTGCATCCAGGTACTCCGCTACAGTTCAGCATACAAGCGGTCCATAATCTGTCTAAATTGATGAACATTACTGAACACTGAATTGTCAGGTTACCAAATTGTCAAGTTACCAAATTCTTAGGTTACCAAATTGTTGGTTACCAAATTGTCCAGTTACCAAAGTCTTAGGTTACCAAATTGTTAGTTACCAAAATATTAGTTACCGAATTGTTAGTTACCAAAATGCTAGTTACCAAAATATTAGTTACCAATAATCCGCCCATCATAATAAGTTCCTTGTTTACAAAATAATTTGTCCTCCCCTGTTTACCATATCCCCCCCCCTCCTCCCTTTAAAAAAAACTTTCAGTAACAGGCCTGAGTTTTCTTTTTTTACGGGAGTTTTCTGAAAATAGATGGAATTTTCTACTCCCATATAAAGACGACCGTGTATATATAAAAGAATTAATCTCTGAATTAAACCTTTTTACTGATTTGTCTCGAATTTAGATTAGGAACTCTTTCTAACCACGGGATCGTTCTTTCTTTGGTTTAAAAATTCAAGAAAAGTTATGTTTCTGGTTTCTAAGCTATAGTAATTGATAAAACACTAAAAAAGAAAGCTATGTGTTGTTATGCTCAATTTCCATGTGTTACCTTGACACACATAATGTAAAAAAGAAATTAATATTTTGTCAAATAATAAAAATATTTCTTTAATTAAAGATTATGAATTACCTCGAGACCAAGGAAACCAATGTTCCTGCACAAATCCAACATCCAGGTAATAATAATATTACCAGCCGGGTGATTAAATATAACTAGCCGGGTAATAATTATTTACAACTACTGTACAGGGAAGTTAAGGGAATTTTACTTTACGAAGGGTTAAGTAAAATTTTTATTTCCCGAAAAAGTTGTGTACACAATTTTATCGTCTTTTGATGTGGAAATGCGCAATTTTTTCCCTGAAATCTTCGAAGAGCGGTGTTTATTTTACATAACTGTCCCATTGGACGTTAAGTAACTTAACCTCCTTCTGTTAGTTGAAGCATAGGTCGGTAATGTTGGTCAAATGGTGGTAATAAAGTATAACCAGGCAGAACCCAAACTTTTTATAACATACCCATTAAATAAAATGTAAACTTGTTAAGTGTTCATGTTCAGGTTTAACGGATACGGAAATCTAAGAACCGTTCATACTAAAGAGTGTACAAAGATATCTTCAAAATTCCATTCCCAGATTCCTAATTCTCTCCCCTCTACCTCCTCCTCATCCATCCCTCTTCCTTCACCGTTCACTCCCTCTGCCTCAACAACATCTTCACATTCAACTCCGGCAATACATACTAATCTTCATACAAACCTTACCTACTTTCAAACAAACCTACCTGATATATCTAATCCCCGTGCACCCTACCCTATTCCTAAGAAAAGAACACGGATACCAGATCGACTCAGTTCTCTTCCTGCTTCTGCCTCTACCCCTAATATAAACTTTCCTTCTCAGGTAATAGATCTTTGAGATGACACAACTTTTTAAAGAAAAAAGATCATATCATAATTATCCTTTTTAATGTCAGGTTGAGGAAAATCAAATATATTCTGATCAATCAATCGGATCCCACAATCATTTAACATATCAGACAAGTAGTCATTGCATTCAAGATGACGATCAAGCTGATTTCAGCATCACTGATGATACTGCAGTTATCATTGGGAATGACTGCTGTGACGAAGAGAATACCAGAGAAACAGAGAGTATTGGAAGTATTCACAAATCAATCAAGAACTCTGAAAAATTAAACAACATTTGTTATGAAGTACCCACTCTTAATATAACTTAGAGATTCGGAGATAAATTTGGCAATTCTCTTTTCCTAACAAAGCGAAAAAGACATTTATGGCAATTTTATATTCAAAGACTATTTTAAACTGAAATTAATTAAAGATAACGAAAAAGGAGAAAGCGCATTATGAATAATATCAAAAATAAAATAAAAATGAATTAGATTTAAAGACCATTTAGACAATTGTCATTTGTTAAATTTGTTTGAGAAAAACTTTTATTAAACTGTATTGTGTGCTTATTTAGTAAATTGTGATACTGTTTTTGTATTAAGATTAAATATTGAATTTATTTTAAAACTTTATCTTAAACCCAGGAAACAATGGATCATTTGAAATTTGCTACAGTTAACCCTAAATATTAAATACATCGAAAGAATTTATCAAATGTCGTATTCTTCACTTTTTAACAATGGAATGTTGCATATATTTAGTTTTTTAATCATATGATTATATGGATCTCTATAAAACTGTTCCTGCATATTCATTGCTATTTATTTATTTTTGCAAATAGTGATATTTACGTAAAATAGTATAAAACCTATTGCAAAATTGTCAAGACGACATTTCATAAATTCGTTCAATGTATTTAATATTTAGGGTTTAACTGTATATTCACCAAGTTTAAAATTTTCGTTTCTTTTAAAGATTACTGAGATGAGATGTTTAACGAGAAATTTCTAATATCTATTTATAGCACTATTATTTTGGTTCGCAGTGTTACAAAGTTTTTGAACAGAAATTTTCTCTTTATCGAGAAGGTTCCAGCCTTTTTAGATTTAATTTTGTCACATGTTTTAGCGATGGACAAAATATAATCTATAAAGGCGAGAACCTTCGAGATATAGAAAAATTTTAAGTCCCAAAACTGGATAGAACATTGTGCCAAAATAATAGTGTTAGAGGCAATTTTATGAAACGTTTGTTTACTTTTCTTTTTTCAATGGCTCTTTTAAATCAAAAGCTTTGAAACAAAGCAGAAGTCATTCCAATGTCGTAGACATAAGATACTTCAAACTGTAAATTCCAATGTCGTAGACATAAGACATACTTCAAACTGTAAATTTTGTTAGATCAAATAATCTAAGTTTAAAATAGCAAAGGTTTATAATATCAGGTTTGTTGCGCTTGTGGCAAAAAGTCAGTTCCTTAAGAATTTTTTGTTAGGAAAATAATAAATGTCGTCTTCTACAAGACCATCTTTTAAAGCTATAAACAAATCACTAAAAGCTACTCAATCAAATCAAAGACTGCAATAATCAATAATTAAAACTCTGATATTTTAAATTATGATTCTTGAAACAATAACAACAAAATTCTCCTAATCCTATAATTTCCAAAATGCGTTCTGCCTATTTCTTCTGTCAATTACCGGAGATATTAAGAATTTCGTTCAGATTTCAATTTCTTAGAAATTAAACCCAAAACTGTCGAAACCTGTGAGAAACTCTTCATATCTCCGATAAATTGGAAGTGACACAATTTGTGAATGCCAAACCTGGGGGTATTTTGGGATTATTGGCTTCAGAATTTTTCTGCTAAAATGAGGTTTAAGAAAAAATTATTTCAAAGATCAAATCGACGACATTCAATTCGTCTTGCTTTTGTCATATTTCGTGGGACACCCTGTAGGAAGATTTCACAAAATATCAGGTTTAATCCTGAAATAAATACAATCGATTAACATCTTTTAATATACTTATTAGGTACGTTTCCTGGTGTCATGTAGAGTCTATACTCCCTAATGATTTACCATTTGAACATCAAAAAACAATTCTAGACATCAAAAGCAATGTTTCGACACTTTTCGATATTTATTAATGTATTTTAATCAGGAAATCGTTTAAAAATGATCTATATCTCGCAAAAAAAATAATTGATAATTTTTAAAGAAGACGACATTTACGAGGAAATAACTTACCGTTTCCCCCTTTTATAATACATTTCTTTCTGTAAGCTAATAATTTTCAATGTTTTTAAATTTCTTTTCATGTCCAGCATTGCGTTAGAATGGTCAAATCACTTCGAAGGAATTAAGTAGGCTCTCCATGCAAGACACCGCAATGGTTTCAATATCATTGTTTTAATTTATACTACCAGGCTTTTAAACTGCTTTGCTCCGCTCTTTCTAGCAAATAACATTATGCTTTTAAATGTTAAATTTAGGATTTCGCAAATTTTCTGTTCTTTATTGGCAGATTTCCATTTTTGACAATTCTGTATACAAACTTTTCTAACTTATAACATTCGAGTCCGGTCTTTGCCACCATCCTGATCGGTTCAACCGTTTTTTTTAATATTTATTGGATACAGCCAGATACATGACAAGCCAAATATAAAGAAATAAATTAAACCGTAATGCATTTGTATGACTAGTTTTGAATGCATCTTCAACTGCATGAATTGCAAAAGGGGTGGGAGTAATGCACTCGCTTGTAGGTGAATGCAAGGAAGATGAATGTATTAGTGTACACAGACTTTAATGAGGTTTGAGAGATGGACAACTATTACATTCACTACAGGGGGGAAATGTTCACTAAATATGAGCCCTGGAGGCAGGGGCGGAGGGGGTTATTCATTGTAATTTCTTTATTTAAACAGATAATAACTGAAAATAATAAAAATTAAAGTGAAATATTATAAATATTTTAATATACTTTGCTTGTCTGTTAGGACTGAGGAAAGGTTTATGGATGTTCAGAATTTCAAGAAATGTTCCTCAATTTTATTTTTATTTTTGTGAAATTTTTAAAATCCACAAAAATGTTTTTTTTACAAAGAGAAGATGCTCATCAAATAGAATCACAAATAAAATATTGAACGTCAACACTAGGATTATACTGGAGAAAACATCATTTTGGTTTCATGCCTCAGAGCTAAAAACAACTTTAAACACTTGAAAACTCTCTGGCCATCATCAAACTTATTTTTATCTTTATATCAGCATGCAGGATAAAATGCTGTTAACAAAATTACAGGATTACCCTACTACCACACAAGAATATGTTTGATATGCATAATTGCATATTTTCATTACTAGAAGATGGGTTAAATGATTCTAAAAGAATGTCTGATTGCTTGGATTAACATGGAAATTAGTTATAGATTATTATAGAAAATATAAGAAGGGAGAAGGTGATAAGAACTTGATAGAATACAGGGTGAAGATAGAATACACGGTAAAGATAGAATACAGGGTGAGGATACAATACAAGGTAAAGATAGAATACAGGGTGAGGGTACAATACAGGGTAAAGATAAAATACAGGTTAAGATAGAATACAGGGTAAAGATAAAATACAGGGTAAAGATAGAATACAGGGTGAAGATAGAATACAGGGTGAAAATAGAATACAGGGTGAAGATAGAATACGGGGTAAAGATAGAAAACAGGGTGAATATAGAATACAGGGTGAAGATAGAATACAGGGTGAAGATAGAATACAGGGTAAATATAGAATACAGGGTGAGGATACAATACAAGGTAAAGAAAGAATACAGGGTGAGGATACAATACAGGGTAAATATAGAATACAGGGTAAAGATATAATACAGGGTAACGATAAAATACAGGGTAAAGATACAGTACAAGGTAAAGATAGAATACAAGGTGAAGATACAATACAAGGTAAAGATAGAATACAGTGTAAAAATAGAATACAAGGTAAAGATAGAATACAGGGTGAAGATAGAATACAAGGTAAAGATAGAATACAGGGTGAAGATAGAATACAGGGTAAAGATAGAATACACGGTAAAGATACAATACAGGGTAAAGATAGAATACACGGTAAAGATACAATACAGGGTAAAGATAGAATACAGGGTAAAGATAGAATACACGGTAAAGATACAATAGAGGGTAAAGATAGAATACACGGTAAAGATAGAATACAGGGTAAAGATAGAATACAGGGTGAAGATAGAATACAGGGTGAAGATAGAAAACGGGGTAAAGATAGAAAACAGGGTGAATATAGAATACAGGGTGAAGATAGAATACAGGGTGAAGATAGAATACAGGGTAAAGATAGAAAACAAGGTGAAGATAAAATACAGGGTAAAGATAGAATACAGGGTTAAGATAGAATACAAGGTGAAGATAGAATACTGGGTAAAGATAGAATACACGGTAAAGATAGAATACAGGGTGACGATAGAATACAGGGTAAAGATAGAATACAAGGTAAAGATAGAATACAGGGTAAAGATAGAATATATGGTAAAGATAGAATACAAGGTAATGATAGAATAAATGTAAAGATAGAATACGGAGTAAAGATAGAATACAGGGTAAAGATAGCATACAGGGTAAAGATAGAATACAAGGTTAAGATAGAATAAAGGGCAAAGATAGAATACAAGGTGAAGATAGAATACAGGATAAAGATAGATTACAGGATAAAGATAGAATACAGGATAAAGATAGAATACAGGGTAAAAATAGAATACAGGGTGAAGATAGAATACAGGGTGAAGATAGAATACAAAATATAAAATGGCTTAAATACTTGGCCGGAATGCAGGGTAAGGTGAAAGAATTGGAATTGGATATGATATGCATATAATTGGGTATGAAGTGAGGCTTGGGTTGGAGAAGGGGGGGGGGGTAGTTATTTTCTAATTATGAATGTAAATTGTAAAATGTAGACCGTACTTAATATCTGTTCAGCTGAACTCAATAAACAAAGGTAAGATCAGGGCGAATATTGGTGGGAAGGAAAGAGGTACAGGCGGATATGATTATGGTTGTGTGTGGAATGGGGGAAGGAAAGAGGTAGAGACGGAAATGATTATGGTTGTGTGGGGAAGAAAAGATTTGAAGGTGGATATGATTATGGTTGAGCGGGGTAGGAAAGATGTAGAGGCGGATATGAATTTGTTTTGTGTGTGTGGAAGAAAATATTTAAAGGCGGATATTATTGTGGTAGATAGTGTGGGTAAAAAGGGAAGAGGTGAGAGCGGATTAAATATTTATGGATGTTTGGGAAGGAAAGGGGGATATGAATATGGATGTGAGGGGAGGGAAGGGGGTGCGGATATGATTATGGATGTGAGTGGATTATTTTAATAATTAATGGGAAACCAACCAAAGTCTAAACTAACTTGTAAACAACGAACTCTCTGCAGAGTCTAGAAAGAGAAGGAAGAGGATTGAAAACATTAAAAGTTTTTTTTTGAAAATACTTTCTCTTTTCAGGTTCTGACAACTAAATATGTATTTCTATTTTAAATTAGCAAAACTATATATCTAACTAAATCACTGAAGTATATAACTATATATCTAA